GTCAGACCGCCAGATGAGAACTAGAAAAGGATTCAAAATATAATTTTGAATTTCATCGTATATATCTTGAGCGACGTTTCAGTCATATAATATAGTAAGTAACGGGAATCAGATCACGTTCTTATTGATGGCTATTGTCTTTCTGGTTACTCTATGGTTCAATTTGCAATACGAATGGACAATATTAATTTTATTTTTGTCTGCAACCTACACCTAAGTGGCAACTAATCAGCCGTCAAATATTCATATAGAGTTCGAAAATCTTATCAAGCCAACCATGACATCCTATTTGTGGTTCACTCACACTCAATAACATAAGATAAATACGTCGTTTTCTTATTCATATCTTACTGTTTATGACTTTAATTTTGAGAATAATTAATGGAACAATCGATACACTTATGATATCAATTTGAGATCAAACGATAGCAATGGAGGCCCAAAAATGGAAAAATCAAGCGGACTGTTTAGTTTGGTCAGAAGGATAATTCGAATGAACTATCTTTTGAATGCATTATTCTTCGATAGAGATATCTCCTGACAATGAGAATCAATTGAAGCATGCTCACATGACATCGATGATCCAGTTACAAAATAAAGGTAAAATATGATCGTTGATCGATGAGAAAGTTCAGAATAGAAAAACGTTGAGAATATATTCACTTTTTCGAAACTTTGATAATATAATAATGTTGAAAGATATACGAATTTTATTACATCAAAACAGCAAAGGTTCTAAATGTAGATATTACAAGGACTTGCTTATTTACTTATTCATTAAAAACTCGTCAACTATTATTCACAAATAACATCACACTAGTGAATAAAAATCTTGTTCGTTATCTTGCTTTATCTGATGGTAAATATCTTGCTTTAGTAACAGAAGAAAGCAACAGTGAAGAAAAATTACAATATGAGTGAAGATGTGAGTGTCTGAATGTAGTTGGGAGATGCTGTGGAGTGTGGGTATGAGTGTAGGTGAAGAGAAGATAAATATTCACATCCAGAATGTGTTAACATGATCATCTTATTTCAAATATTTATTAGTTAATCTTTCTTTTCTTTTTGATTTCTTTTGCAACATTTCACACATAAATAATATACGATCACTGAAGGTAGAACAATGCAAATAAGTACTATATCGAGTATGTATCGTTGATAGAATGGGAGTGTATTGTGAAATGGTACATACCGATCTAAACTACCATTCAAATAGAATAAAAGTTCAATCTCTTCTACGGCTCTTTTCACACCACCAGCATGTTTCATTTCAAGTGACATTAATCGAACGGCTCGTTCATATGAACTATTGTTCCATATTATTAATAGTTTTGTTGTTACATCAATTTCTGAAAATGTATAATCATGAAAATCAAGTGGGTTTAGTAGTGATTTCAACAGAGATGGTCGTGTAAATAATGATTCTCCGACATGTGAATGATATATTGCCATCGCATTACCGAATTGATCTAAACATAATGGTAAACATAAAATAAGTTTCTCAAAGTAAGGGTGTGGGGTGTGGGTGTGGGTGTGGGGTGTGGGTGTGGGTGTGGGTGGTGTGGGTGTGGGTGGGTGTGGGTGTGGGTGTGGGTGTGGTTGGGGGGGTGGGGGCGGGGGGGGCGTCGATGTGGGTGCGAGGCTCCTCC